TCGTTTTAAAATGCGTGGGTGTCTAAACATCCCAGCCACCGTTTACGTCAATCGGCATCTTGCTCCTTGAAGGTAGGTACATCGTAGATTTATTTTTAAACAACTAAAAAGAGAAAGTCCTCAATCGGTTGTTTTTTTTATTTATTACCGCAGAACTACGTCATTTAGAAAGATACTAACCCTGTGGGTGGAACGCTAAGGAATGATCAATGAAGTTTATTACAATTCATCATGATGTATATGATTTGATGTGATTGAATTGATTTAAAAAAAGACAACTCCCGCACTAGGAATATATCCTGTGTCGCTTGGGACTTTACAAACATACATGAAACGGACACAAAGAACACCCAGACTCAGAACAACAATTTGTGGATCACACAAAGTGATGCGCAGTAGGAAGCGGCGAGGTGACCGCTTAAACCACTACGCAATCCGTGCAGTCAATAAAAATATAGAAACTCTATACTAAGCCAGCCGTCTGGCCAGAGTGGCTCAGTGGGCCAAAACTTCCTTTCTCAGGAGACGTCGAAGACGCATTTGTTGCCCCCATCTGTGAATCCCAAATTAGGTCTCAATTTGACAAAGAAACCCTAGACCCACATGTGTTTAATTCGACACTGCACTACTGTTTATAACCTTTTTTATCAGACATTGCTAAATGTTAACCTTACAAACATATTTTTTTTTTTTAACACTTATAATAACTGCAACTGACGACCTTAATAAACAAATACCACTTTAACTAGACATGGGACAAAATGAACTGTGATTTATCATTCGACTTTTTCGTACGTATGTTGGGGACGATGCACAAAGACCCTGTTTTACCCATTTAACAGTATATCTACTATTTTTTAAATTATTATGTAGGGAATGGTAGCTATATATAATAAAATAATTACTAGATTTACCGTTAAATAATCCGCGTAGTGACGGATTAAGATACGGAATGTCACTACCCCAATTCATCCCGTGGGTGTCGTAAGAGCCGACTAAGGGCACAAAACAACGCAGGACAACATCACTACAAAAAGAAGGAAAACTTGACACAAACCCTATACCAACCCGTCTGGCAAGCGTGGTATAGTAGGCCAAAACCTCCTTTCTAAGGAGCGGCCTATGTCCAGCAGTGGACCATTAAAGGCCGTTGATGTGAACCGAAATAGGGTCTTTATGCATCGCCTGAAAACATCTTATTGGCAACAACGCATGAGTAAGTAGTAACCCTAATCTACGTACGAATGATAAATCACCGTTGATTCACAGTTCTCTGTGATTTTGCGCCATGTCTCTTGAACATTATTTCAGTACGTATATTAAACCGTACCTAAGTATTTTAAAGAATAAACTAGTGTGCTGAGCAGGCTCCTTTAAAAGGTTTTCGTTAATATTTATCAGCTGTAAACTGCGAATTAGCTGCTGAATGCGAAGCTTTGTTCCCCTAAAAGCGTTTTAGTGTGGATTTTACTTGACTTGTATGAGATTCTACATTACGTAACCAAATTATATTCCACCTAAGCTTTAAAGTGAATTTGTTAATATACAATCCGATATTGCCTTCGACGGGTGGGAAATTTCGTTTGTGACCTTGTGTGTATTTTTACTTTCATAATTGTACATATTGGGCTAGTTCTGGCTGGCTCGTCTTGTAAATTTATTTTTATAAATTGACGAGATTTCAAGTTACTTTAACTGCCAACTACTGACACTAGAGGAATTGACCAAGTAGTCAATAATCCTTTAGAAAAGAAAGACATGCGAATCGACATCGGAAATAGAAATAGATATCGAAATTTTCACGTTGCATATACTAGAAGATTTGTAACATCTTTCGACCGCGAAAACATCAGGGTATTCAAATATAGTGGCGGCCATCGGAGTGGGAGTTCTCTCGCACGATAGCCTGATTGCGGCTATCGTGCGGAGCGAGAGTGCGTGGAACTCTGCCGTCTCCTTCTGCGAGCAAGTTATGCTCGCGAAGGAGACGGCGGAGCGGGACCGGGAGAGGTTTAGAACTCTTCCCGGCCCGCCAGGCCCGGGAACGGGTTAGGTACCGCAGGCGACTCAGGCGCCGGAGGTCGCAGAACGACCTCCGTCCTCCATAATCGCAGGCCTGGGGGTGACAGGTGAGCCCATCTGTCACCCTAGCAGAAGCAGGCCGGGGGTGGCGGCGAGCGCGTTGCGAAGCGCGCTCGCTTCCACAGAGCAGAGGGAACATGGGGTTCCCACACGGGGGGGGGTCGTCTACTCGTCTGTAGATGGCCCGAGGTAAGTCGGGGCACCAGGGACTTCTTTTCTAGGCTATACCTGGTTTCCCGGCTATTAGCACCCGAGACGGCGTGCGGTTTTAGTCGGTTCGAGTCCGACATGCCACCGATAGGTGGTATCCGAGGAGATTTCCGCAAGGAAAAAAAAAGGGTATTCAAATATAATTATGTTATGATCGCATTCATTCCCGTACGTACATACAATGATATTAAAGATCTAAAAATTAATTTCAAAATTCTCGCGCAACCATTTTCATAGCTCATACAGATTTATAAAGGAATTAACTGAAACTGTTCCCAGTAAAGTGGCTTCATAATACAGATAAATAAAGCAGTAACAATCGCTGATTGCAGCTATATATATTTATTAGAGTATCTTATTCGGCTGATTAAAGAGCCTGAAGCAATTTGACTCTCTCAAAGGCTGAACTCTTTACGTAGTACCTACCTATACTGTTTTATTGAAATGCTCTTTATTGATCTTTTAACTTAACAGTTGCTCGTAACAGGATTTATAGTTTAATTTAGAATAATCACTTTTGAAGAGAGCTTCATATCTATTTTAAGTAAACTATTGCATAGCGGGGCTATATTCTATTCTCGTAGAAAATCAACAATAAAGTTTTAAGATGAAAGCAAAGATTTCATGTTCTCATCCTTATTTTATACCGCATCATATGATGCTCTCATTATTACTCTGAATGGAAACGTAACAGAGGACGTATAAATTTTACAAGATTTTAACATTTTTTACACAAAGGAGGTGCCCAAAAATTGTATGAGTCTGTGCCCCAGAATGTAAAGATATCAAATAAATGTTTTTAAAAGCTTAACCCTTCTAATTAAAGAATAAAAATGTTACATAAGGCATAGCAGAGCATGAAAAATTATAAAGGTATAAAACATATATGTTACTACTCCGACAATAACATTATTTCACAATATATTATAAATTTATTATATCAGGCGTGCTTTATAGGGTTTATATGTATGCTCATGTCAAAGGCTCCATGAGGCTCCACATTTGTTGTCCATGAAAAGTAGGCGATGTCGTTCTTCAGCGCTTCAACGATCTCCACACAAAGAACATGTCCTTCATTGGTTGCTACACTTAGTTTTGTTTATTAGGGTTAGTGTCACAAAATGGAAATAAAACTAAGTATAATTTTATATATATGCATTTATTTATAATCATTTAATGTAATTAGAACATTGTGTAAAATTCCGCTGATGGAACAGTATTTTTCCGATGCCTTGAACATGTACATTTCCGTCTACATCATGAAACCCTATGTTTTCCACCATGTTTCTTCATGCTACTTCTCTGTTAGCTCTCATATCACAGATATAAAACAAAAATTGGCCGCTCCAACATGAAAAAATATAGAATCATTTTTCACTTGTAATAATTTTATTTTTATTAAATTCTACCAAAAGAACTCTAATTGAAATGCTGGTTTCAAATATTTGATTGGGGACCCTTAATAAATAACATAGTTTTAGCATTTCACATGAAGTAAGTAATACTCCTTACTGTAATTACCATCAATAGAGATATTAATACAATCTTAATAATCTTCTACCACATGCACACAACACCATATCGTCTCAAACTAGATATATATATATATATATATATATATATATATATACATACATACATACAGAGCTATGTAGATAATAATATATAAGGCAGGCAAGTATCTTACCCACTATGCCAACTGGTTGTCGATATTTCATTAATGTGTGTGTGTTTTATGATCATTTACAAAACTTACAAGGATATAATTTACTAGAGGATACAACTAAAACAAAAGGGGCCAATTCCAATATCGCCATTTTTCTTATTTACCAAAACTTCCTTTATAATTAAAGGCCTATGTCCAGAAATGAACCATTAAAGGCTGTTGATGATGATGATGATTTATTTTTGCAAATATTACTGATCTACTACAACCATAGCAAATATTCTCAAACCAAGTTTCTCTAAAATTATTTCACGACATCTCGTTACAAGGTCATGGTAGGCACCACACGATTTTAAAAGGTCCATTTTCCTCACGAAACATACAATTAAGACCGTTTATAACTAGTTCAGCAGGCGCATGGGTCTACGACACTATAATACAAAGGCGAAACCAAATAACAGTACAAACACTCGAAAACCGAGAATTCGTATATTGAGTGTTGTCATTGATTATATCAAAGTAGGTCTATTACTAATAGTTCTTCTTTATTTAGTAACAATTAATTATTAATAACTGATTTATTGTAACGGATAATGTAAACAATAAATATAATAAGAATTTAGAGCGAGTGCAATAACGTTAGATTTTAATATAGAACGCACGTATTGATACAATATTTTCCCCTGTGTTTTTTTTTTTTAAATTGAACTTACGCAAAACGGAATGTAATCTCCAAAAAAGGTTTGAGAAAAGTTTTATTTGGTTTAATTTTAAACTCAACAAAATTGTTTCTTATTTTGAACTAACTTTATTGTAAATAAAAAACAATTTTGTTGTGTTACAAAGTTACAATATTGTATAAATATTTTGTTTTATATATATAAGTAATTTTGGAAAACAATTTGTTGTACTCATGGTTGAACCATTTTCAATTGGAATAAAATATTAATAGGTGAAGAATGTAGCTTATTATAATTTATCATGATTTATGCACATTTATAGAGGTAAAGCCGTTTATTTAAATTTAATAAATTTTGCACAGATTCGACCGTCTAGCGGCTGAGCACCACTGCCTGCGCATCAAGCTCCTGGGCGACTGCTACTATTGCGTATCTGGCCTGCCAGAGGCCCGCGATGACCATGCCAAATGCTGCGTTGAAATGGGCCTCGACATGATTGATGCCATTGCGTAAGTTTAAAAGAGATATTGTAGTTAATAACTATTAATAATTGACGCTTTAACTTCGGAGATGCCTGACTGTTGCGAGCTTGAAGACTACTCTGTATCAAGGGGCAGAGATTTTAGTTACTTCTTGTTTTTTTATGAAAAAGGGCTAAAGAGCGGGTGAGTCACTTAATAAGAAGTGACGACCGCCGCTACTTCTAACTACAAGACCAGTATAACGCAATAGAAGTTCTGGCGCTGATTAGTGCATACAAAAACAACTAGTCAATATGAATCATGAGACGCCATCTGTCCTCGATCACCTAGCCTGGAACCGTCATGAACTTTTTTTAATTATATTTTGAAGATACTTAATATAAATTTGTATACTTATAGTTTGTGCTGTTTGTACAGTCTGGTACGTGAGGTGATGGCTGTGAACGTGAACATGCGCGTGGGCATCCACACCGGCCGTGTTCACTGCGTGGTGCTCGGCCTGCGCAAGTGGCAGTTCGATGTGTGGTCCAATGATGTTACTCTAGCCAACTACATGGAGAGTGGTGGCGTTGCTGGGTGAGTTCTATATCTCCTGAGATAGCATACTGTAGCGGTCATTAATGGTCATTTCAATCGCCTACATCTGTTAGTTTTAATACTGCAAATCTACAGTTCAATCTTGGTATCTTGAGAAATGGATCAGCTAGTGTCACGATTAATGTATATTAATGAGATTAAAATACCATTTAAGTCATATCCACTCTTCTCCGAAAACTTACGGACTATACGACAAAATTTTAATAAAAAAGTTAGTGACCTCGTTTCTGTAATTTTCATTAATTAATTAATTCACAATCCCTAGGCTAGACGTAAACTTTTGCTCTGGATGAAACCTGGGTAACTTCAATGCAAAATTTTAAAATGATCTACATATTAATAAGTTACGCATGAAAGAATAACAAATTAAAGCCAGTTTCTGTCTAAGATGTTAGTTATTATGTGTAATAAACATTTTGATATTATTTTAGGCGTGTCCACATCACCAAGGAAACGCTGCAGTGCCTCGGCGACGATTACAAGGTGGAGCCGGGCAACGGCGGACAGCGCAACGCCTACCTCAAGGACCACAACATCGATACCTACCTGATTGTGCCCGACGATACCAGCCGAGTGGTGAGTGTACATCCGTCCTCCATAAGCGCAGGCCTTGGGGTGACAGGTGAGGCCATCTGTCACCCTAGCAGAAGCAGGCCGGTGTGGCGGCGAGCGCGTTGCGAAGCGCGCTCGCTTCCATGGAGCAGAGAGAACATGGGGTTCCCACACGGGGGAGGTCGTCTACCTGTTGTTGTAGATGGCCCGAGGTATGTCGGGGCACCAGGGACTTCCTTTCTAGGGTATACCTGGTTCCCCGGCTATTAGTACCCGAGACGGCGTGCGGTTTTAGTCGGTTCGAGTCCGACATGCCACCGATAGGTGGTATCCAAAGGGATTTCCGCACGGAAAAAAAAAAAAAACAAAGTGGTGAGTGTTCATTCCGACTTTAATATAACACTTGTTCTAGGCAGTTTTATTAATAGCCTGCAATGTATTTAGATTTACTACTCTAAGTACATTTTGAACGTATTTTAACTATTGACTATTAAAAAGTTTCGTATTTAATTTGATACAGTCTAATAGTATAAAAACCAAGAACTATAGTTTAATACGTATTAATAAATTTAAGCAGTCAGCTCCGATGGTATGCGATATTTAACTATCGACACCATTAATTAATCGTGCTTTACCAACCCATCTATATCTCTCAGCAGTTCTTGCTATTAATAATAATAACAATAACATCACACATCTGTCACACAATCGCCTGATGCCTGAGCCTGCCTATGTTAGCCAGAATACTGATAAACATACTTATATACTTCTTAATACATACATCATCATCAACCTAGCGCAGTCCACTGCTGGACATAGGCCTCTCCCATTGAACGCCACTTAGATCGATTTTGGGATTCTCGCATCCAGCTCCCGCCAGCCATCTTGCGCAAATCGTCACTCCACCTGGCCGGTGGGCGTCCTACACTGCGTCTCCAATCAAGAACTCGTTTTCCCTAACGGTTGTCGGCCATATATACATAAATAATACATACATGTTATAGATAAATTACACCCAGACACAGAACAAAGGATCATGCTCATAATACAGAATTTTTTCTGGGTATACTATTGAGAATACTCTTATTGGTGCTGGTAGAAAGCGTTTGTCCCTTAACACCTAATAATAAATGTATTTTTTTAAATTGTTATGTCCCAGGATAAAAAGCCGCAGCACTCGTTCTCGCTGAATGGCAACATCTCGAAGGAGATGCGCGTGATGGGCCATGGCTCGCAGCACGGCAAGAACTCGGCCAAGTAAGTACCCTAGACATGTCTTTCTCACTTGTTTAAAGGTTCTCGAAGACTTGTAAACTATACCCATTTTGCACTTCAAAGCACCAATACATAGTTTTCGCTCCCTTTCAACTTAGGAATGTTAGCAATGTACCTAGTTCGACGTCATTTTTACACAAAACCACACAGTTCTGTCACGTTCTGTCTATTAAAATATATTTTTTAATTGCGTTCGCCCATAATCTGAAAATAATAGGCAGAGTAGCGTTTTACTAAGACTGTCATTTATTGCACAGAGTTATTTATTTATTTATTTATTTATTTATTAAAAACAATTACAGTGTCTTTACAGGATTTATCCCAAAACGATACTGTAAGTAAAAACAGTAAGTAACAGTTATTTATATATAAAAATCATTTGCTGTAATACATCTCTGTGCGACTTCTTTGAAGTTCGGCAGGCTACAGTTGTAGATATTACTTGTAATGAAATAATATTAATAAATTATTATTATTCTTGTCTAGTTGTACAAGAGTGAAACTAGATGGCTCTAGTAGTTACATATTTGATATTATTTTGTTACAATATTAACAGTCCGTTGTCACAAGAGATGATGGCTGTAATCAGTACAGATTTTCATAATATTTTATTCAACTATGATGATTTTACATACTTGCATATGACAACAACTATTTACATCCACAGTAAGTTGTTAATATGTTAAACGATATAAGAGTAAATATACCTTTTCTATATTTCTAATAATAATCAATAAATTGTCAGTTCAAACGACTTTGGTCTTTAACGTAAAAGTTTGTGACCTTTATGGTCACAAACTTTTACGTTAAAGACCAAAGTCAAGTCAAAAATACACAAAAGCCCTTAACGGTATACAAGTCTCACACCAGTTGAAAAATAATACTAGGTATTAATATTAATTAAACCTCATTCAACCCCGTCGTCTATAAACAGTATCAAGTTGAGAAAACTTAGTCACGATTTTTTTTTTAAATAATTTTCACCCGGTTGAAAAGAAATAAGTAAGCGTAAGCTGACGCATGAGAAATTTAATAATATTTAATGTCAGACAATAATAAAATATAGACGAGCAATTTCTATGACAGTTACCATATTTATGCTGAATTTGACCTGAATTTCTTGTCTACAATACATGTAATCAGTTCAGATGTTGATCATAGTTCCAGAAATTTTAGCGCATTTCACGTAAGTGTAAAGTAATAAACACTATACTGTCTTTTTAACTCAGATGTACATATACACGGCAACACCGTGTGGTTCTCGGCGGAGTAGAATAAGGCCAACCCATCTCTTCCCGTGGGTGTCGTAAAAGGCGACTGAGGGAATCTTTGGACTGTTTATCATCAGACAGTATATATACAGTTCGTGCGGTACTTGTCCTGGTGGCCCCTCCAACCGCTGGATATTGGTACATACCGCAGTCTAAGTCCTGTCTCCCATCCTAGTACTGCGGTATTCCCCCACCCTAATTTTCCTCTCTCATCCAATCCCCTCACCCCTGATGTTTCCTTTTTTCCCTTCCCTATCGTATAAACGACTACATTCCCAAGGAGGGTTGGCGACAGGCAGGCGGCCGGCCATAAAAATTAATGAGCCAAAACCACTATAATGCAGTATAAGTATGATGGAAATTGAGTGCGACAGTGCTAGGGCGTACCCCGTAGGCGCCGCGCGGCAGCAGCACCCGGCTACGCGAATAAGTGGACAAGGGTTGTTGCACCACCCGAGGCGGGTGCAACGTAAGAAGCAAGCCCGAGAGGTGAGGATGAGGTATGCAAGTTGGAATGTAGGGACTATGACTGGAAGAGCGAGAGAGCTAGCAGATGTGTTGAAAAGAAGAAGAATAAACGTGGCATGCTTGCAAGAAACAAAATGGAAGGGTACGAAAGCAAGAGAGATAGGAGAGGGGTACAAGTTTTATTACTGCGGAAGTGATGGGAAGAGAAATGGAGTGGGCGTAGTATTGGATAGTGCCCTGAAAGAGTGTGTGACGGATGTAAAGAGAGTGAATGATAGAATAATAGTATTAAAATTAGTATGGGAGAGCGTAATTATGAATATTGTTAGCGTGTATGCACCTCAAGCTGGATGCAAGGATGAAGTGAAAGAAAAATTTTGGGCCGATTTTGACATGGTTTTGATAGGTATCCCTGAAAGTGAAGAACTTTTGATAGGTGGAGATTTTAATGGTCATGTGGGAACAACGAATGAGGATTATGAAAGAGTACATGGAGGAAGGGGGTTCGGAAGTAGAAACATTGATGGTGAGTCTCTGCTCCAGTTTTCCTCTTCGTTTGACCTGGCAATAGTTAACACATGGTTCCAAAAACGTCACGAACATCTGATCACGTATAAAAGTGGTAGCCACGCGACACAGATCGACTACTTTCTCATAAAAAGAAGTAAGTTGGTTTGTGTCCGAGACTGCAAAGTGGTGCCCGGGGAACCCGTAGTATCGCAACATAGATTGCTGGTAATGGTGGTCAAATGGAAGAGTTTGAGTAAGAGTAGGAAGAACCGACCTTCTCCAAGAATCAGGTGGCGAATGTTAGAGAAAGAAGAGTATGCAAGTAACTTTAAGGTAAAGGTGGTAGAAAAAATGATTGAAATGAATGCAAGGCTAGATAAGTCTGTGGATGGATGGTGGAGTGAAATGGCAAATTATATACGAAAGATAGCGAGAGAAGTACTTGGGGAAACAAAAGGAAAAGGCATTATTGAAAGAGAGACATGGTGGTGGAGTGATGAGGTACAGAAAGCTCTAAAAGAAAAGAAGGATGCCTTTAAAGCGTGGAAAAATGAAAAGGTCTGTGAGAGAATGAAGGAAGTCAAAATGAATAGCGGTAGCGGTAGCCAGAGCTAAAGCTCAATATAACATATTTAAACACCTACATGAACCTAGCGGTCAAAAAGAACTCTACCGCATTACAAAGAACAGGGAAGAAAGAGCAAAAGACCTGAAGCATGTGAGATGTATAAAAGATGAAGAGGGGAGAGTGTTGGTTAAAGATGAAGATATAAAAAAGCGATGGAAATCTTACTTTGAAAAACTTATGAATGAAGAGAATAAATGGAGCGGAGTGCTAAAGCATGTGGATGTGAATGTCGGACTGGTGAACGAGATTAGCATAGATGAAGTTAGATTGGCAGTACGAAGTATGAAAAACGGAAAAGCAGTTGGCCCCGACGGTATACCAGTGGAAGTTTGGAAGCTACTGAAAGAAGACGGATATAAGTGGCTGACTCTATTCTTCAATATGTTGTTGCTTGAAGAGGTAATCCCAAAGGAATGGTGTCAAACCCAACTCGTACCCATTTTCAAAAACAAAGGAGATGTTCAGGAATGCAACAACTATCGAGGAATAAAGCTCATGTCACATACTATGAAAGTCTGGGAGAAAGTGATTGAGAGAAGAATAAGAGATGAGAGTCAGATAACCCAAAGTCAATTTGGGTTTATGCCAGGACGCGGGACAACAGATGCTATATTTGCAATGCGCCAACTATGTGAGAAATACAGGAGTGCGCACAAAAACTTGCATATAGTGTTTGTGGATCTCGAAAAGGCATATGATAGGGTACCCCGAGAGGTTTTGTGGTGGGCTTTGAAAGAAGAAAGAGTGCCTGTTAAGTATGTAGAATTGATTCGTGCTATGTACAGAGAGTCTAGCACTCATGTAAGGTCGGTCACGGGAAACACTGATCAATTCAGTGTCTCTGTAGGCTTGCACCAGGGATCAGCTCTGAGCCCATACCTCTTCCTGTTGATAATGGATGCTCTGACATCGGACATACAGGAGGAGGCACCTTGGTGCATGCTATTTGCAGATGACATTGTGTTGGTCGGTGAGGATGGGGTTGAGGTCCAGAGCAGACTGGAAAAATGGCAACAAAGGCTGGAGAATGTTGGCTTGAAAATCAGCAGAACCAAACTGAGTACATGTTCTGCGATTTCGGCGGTCTCTCCAGTCCTGAAACCATTTCGCTGGATGGGATAGCGATAACAGTCTGCTCCAATTTCAAGTACCTCGGCTCCCTCGTACAATGTGATGGTGAGATTGATCGAACTGTACAGCATCGAATCAATACGGGATGGATGAAGTGGCGGCAGGTAACGGGAACAACTTGTGACCCCCGTTTCCCCTTAAAACTGAAGGGACAAATTTATAAAACTATTATCAGACCTGCCGTACTGTATGGTTCTGAAAGTTGGCCCATTAAGAGAACGGATGAGAGACGCCTGAACGTAGCCGAAATGCGAATGCTGAGATGGATGTGTGGTGTGACTCAGATGGACAAGGTTAGGAATGAGTATATACGAGGGAGTCTGAAAGTAGCGCCACTGGATGAAAAGTTAAGAAGTAATAGGTTATCTTGGTATGGACATGTCATGCGGAGGGATGAGGAAAATGTGGCGAAGAAAGTTTTAGGTATGAGAATTGAAGGGTATAAGAGAAGAGGCAGACCGAAGAAAAGGTGGATGGACTGCGTGAGGGAGGATATGGCTAGCAAGGGAGTAAACAGTGAGATGACGCATGACAGAGTAGAATGGAAAAATCATACATACTGCGCCGACCCCAAATAAAATTGGGAAAAGGGTAGGCAGATGATGTACATATACACGGCAAAAAAAAATACCTGGTTAGTAGGCCGAAGTACGTGTAATTACAATAAACTATTACTTGAGGAATTAAAATTTAGGATAGCACCCAGCCGCCTCTTGTTAAAGATGAAAGTTCGAGCTCGCATTCTAGACACCCTAGCAGATTCATTACAACCTTAAAGTTTTATATATTATTAATAAATAGGTATATGTATGTATGTAACTAGGTAATCATTGTCTAGTGCACCCAGTCGCACATTTAAGCACCACCCTAAGGTGAGAAAATGCCTGTGGCATTAAGTCCGCCTTTGTTCAACTCATACTTATGCATAAAGAATTAAAAAATATAAAAAAAATAATTAAAACTAAACAGCATAA